TTTACAACAACCTCAAACTCTTGGGCTTAAGCAACTTACTTGCCTCAGTCTCCCAAGTAGCTGGGACTATAGGCACCTGCCACAATGCCTGGCTACTTTTGGTTGCAGTTGTCATTGTTGGTTAGCAGGCTGGGCCAGGATCAAACCCGCCAGCCTTAGTGTATATGGCCAGTGCCCTATTCACTGAGGTAGAGATGCTGAGCCCACAATTAAAGTTTTTTAAATTAAGTTTTCTCTTGCTTATAAAGCAGACACACTCCTGCATTTTTTATATTTGAGATTAGCCAAAAGGTCAAGAATCAATACTCTTAGATTTTTTTTTTTTTTTTTTGAGACAGAGCCTCAAGCTGTCACCCTGGGTAGAGTGCCATGGCATCACAACTCACAGCAACCTCCAACTCCTGGGCTCAAGCGATTCTCCTGCCTCTGCCTCCCAAGTAGCTGGGACTACAGGCACCCACCACAATGCCTGGCTATTTTTTGGTTTATTTATTTATATATTTGTTTACTTTAAGATGGGGTTCTCATAGAGTACAGTAGTGCCATCACTGCAACCTCAAACTCCTGGGCTCAAGTGATCCTCCTACCTCAATCTCCCAAACTAGCTGCTATTATAGGCATGCACCACCATGCCATGCTAATTTTTGCTGGCTTTTTTTGTAGAAAGTCTTGCTATGTTGTCCAGGTTGGGAAGGAACTCCTAGATCCAAGTGATCCCCCTTGGCCTTCCAAAGTGCTAGGATTACAGCTGTGAGCCACTGTGCCCAGCCTCTGAACTACCAAATTTATAATATAGCTTTTACAATATAGGAAATGTATAAGAACAACTCTTAATCAATGACCTATATGCACCTATACCAAACAAAGGGGACCCAGGAGGCCTCTAGCAGCAAAGACACATGGCAGATTAGCAAATTATACCAGTTCCATCCTTTTTATGAGATTCTAATCAGAGGCCCAATCAGTGGTAAAGAGTCTTTCCAAATAAATTATCTCAGAGGTTATTTAACTAAGTACTCACCTATGAAATGTTCTACTACATATATTTTTTAAAGATTAAATAATCATTTTTTAGTAAGATTTCCATAATGCTAGACATAACAGAAATCCTTAAGGCTCCTCTAGAATGATAATGGAAACAACCCTGAGTTTTATTTCTCATTATCCATTAACATGTTCTATTACCATAATTAAGCCTGCCTCCATGGTTCTATTTCCTCAGTATAATGAACAACCAGGTATACATTTTTCTTACATCCTTGAAGTTTTAACATCTTACTTTAACATGTTGTAAAACTACAGAAAGTAATATGGCTTTATTTCTGATGTTCAAGAGTTCCAGAAGGTCTCCTAATTCAAGTTACTTTATTATTGCTGGAAGGTGAAGCCTTGTCATTAACCATATTATAGGTACTTCACCTGTTAATACCAAATTACTGCCACATTACTAATCTTGAGTAATGAGAGCTGATTCTTTATCAGCTTTCCACAACTCTTCAGATAAAATCAAAATTCTTCAATCATGAAACATAAGACTTAACATTACATTATCAAATGACCTAATACTGTATTATCACTGCATTCCCATTGAACAGTTAAGCAGAAATCATATCTCATTTCTCTGTGTCCCCAATAACCTAACAAAGTACTTTGTGAAAATATGTATACATGACACAAAATAAGTGTTGTTGAGTAAACAATGTAAGAATGAACCATTTTAAATATTACCTAACAGAAACATCAAATGAACAAATTAAAAACTCATGGAATATTACATTATTTACTTACAAGTAACTAAAAGAGAACTATCAACATAGTGTCATTAAAATTACAGAAGGCAATCCACAGCCATATCACCCTGAATGCCCCCAATTTCATATGATCTTAGAAACTAAGCAGGATCAGGCCTGGTGAAAAAAAAAAAAAATTACAGACGGCAAAATCTACTAAGTACTGAACAAAGAAAACTGAGGACATACTTGTCCTTTTCATTTTCTTCATGTTTGGTAAGACTGCAGAGTTGAAGAGTATCAAGCTGTTGTGTTACTTCTTCTGCCCAACGACAATTTACTAATTCTCGCAGCTGAAGTGGAGCACTGGGGAGAAAATCCATACATATATTGTAACTCAGTAATTTGAGATTATTTAGTAAAATAAACACATACCTGAAAATAGAGCTCTCAATTATATTCCCACCATAATACTAGCAAAATAAAAACAAAGACAATGAAAAGTAGGCTTTGCGACTTATTTTCACTACCATTACTATATCACTTACCAAAAACAAATAAAACATTGACCAAAATAAATACTGATAATTCAGAATACAGACTGAATTCTCAACTCCTTAACCCAAAGCTCTGCTTTCCCAAATAACAGCTACTACCCACTTGTGACTATTCAAATTAAAATGCAAATTAATATAATTACAACTGAATTGAAATAAAATTTCATTAGTCACAGTAGACACATTTCAAGTGTGCATTAGCCACATGTAGCTAGCAGCTACTGTACCAGACAGTGTACTATTTCCATTATTACAGAAAGTTCTATTTAATAGTGCTGGTCTTTTTGCAAGTCGGTATGAGAAAACCAAACAATATAAGAACGATGTTGGCTTGGCACCTGTAGCTCAAGCAGCTAAGGTGCCAGCTGCATACACCAGAGCTGGCAGATTCAAATCCAGCCTGGGCCTGCCAAATAGCAACAACAACTACAACCAAAAAATGGCTGGGTGTTGTGGTGAGCGCCTGTAGTCCCAGCTATTTGGGAGGCTGAGGCAAGAGAATCGCTTGAGCCCAGGAGTTGGAGGTTGCTGTGAGCTGTGATGCCACCGCACTCTACCCAGGGTGACGGCTTGAGGCTCTGTCTCAAAAAAGAAAAAGAAAAGAAAAATGGGCAAAAGATGGAAGTCTGGAATCATTATTTGAAATAATCGTAAGTGGAAACAACCTGTTTCTCAGTAAGGGAATAAAAAGTATATCCAGTCACAGAGTGGACTTTTACTCAAATGGCTTTTTTAAAATGACATACGTTGCCTGATCCACAGAAAGAGGAAAGCTAAAAAACAAAAAGATAAAAAAAATAATAACAGGGTGGTGCCCACGCTCAGTGGGTAGGGCACCCACCATATACACTGAGGATGGTGGGTTTAAACCCAGCCTGGGCCAGCTAAAACAACAATGACAACAGCAACAACAACAACAAAGACTAGTTGGGTGTTGTGGCAGCGCCTATACTGCCAGCTATTCAGGAAGCTGAGGCAAGAGAATCACTTAACCCCAAGAGTCTGAGGTTGCTGTGAGCCGTGACACTATGGCACTCTACCCAGGGCAACAGCTTGAGACTATCTCAAAAGAATAAAAATAAAAGCAACATTTGTATATATATACTCAGAAACAGACATCTACCATATTTTTTTTCTTTTGAGACAGAGTCTCACTATGTTGCCCTCCATAGAGTGCTGTGGAGTCACAGCTCACAGCAACCTCAGACTCTTGGCCTTAAGCATTTCTCTTGTCTCAGCCTTCAGAGTATCTGGGACTACAGGTGCCCACCACAACACCTGGCTATTTTTTGGTTACAGTTGTCATTGTTGTTTAGCAGGCCCCTGCCAGGTCCAAACCCACCAGCCTCGGTGCATATGGCCAGCACCCTACTCACTGAGCTACAGGCGCCAAGCCGACATCTACTATATTTTATATAAAAAAGCAAATTGCAAAACAGTTTGTCAATTTTTGTGTTTTAAAAATAAAGAAAATAGGCTCAGCGCCTGTAACTCAAGCAGCTAAGGCGCCAGCCACATACACCAAAGCTGGCAGGTTCAAATCCAGCCTGGGCCTGCCAAACAACAATGACAACTACAGCCAAAAAATAGCAGGGCATTGTAGCAGGCACCTGTAGTCCCAGCTACTTGGGAGGCTGAGGCAAGAGAATCGCTTAAGCCCAGGAGTTGGGGTTGCTGTGAACTGTGATACCATAGCACTCTACTCAGGGCAACAGCTTGAGGCTTTGTCTAAAACAAAATAAAAATAGGCTCGGCGCCTATAGCTCAACAGGCTAAGGCGCCAGCCACGTACACCTAAGGTGGCGGGTTCGAATCCCCAGCCCGGACCTGCCAAACAACAATGACGGCTGCAACCAAAAAATAGCCGGGCGTTGTGGCGGGCGCCTGTAGTCCCAGCTACTTGGGAGGCGGAGGCAGGAGACTCACTTGAGCCCAGGAGTTGGAGGTTGCTGTGAGCTGTAATGCCAGGGCACTCTACCCAGGGGGACAGCTTGAGGCTCTGTCTCAAAAAAAAACAAAATAAAAATAAAACATATAGATGCCTATAATCCTAGCACTCTGGGAGGCCAAGGCGGGAGGTTTTCTTGAGCTCATGAGTTCCAGACCAGCCTGAGCAAGAGACCACTTCTATACTAAAAACAGAAAAATTAGCTAGGCATTGTGGTGGCACCAGTAGTCCCAGCTACTCCAAAGGCTGAGGCAGGAGATCACTTGAGCCCAGGAGGTTGAGGTTGCTGCGGGCACTCTAGCTTGGAGCAACAGAGTGAGATTCTGACTACAATAAAAAAAAAAAAAAAAAAAAAGGCATACAGGAATACATATCAATATATGTACATACTGAATTAGAGCCTTAAATACTTGTATATATGCATATACACAGAAAAATGTCAAAATGTCTAGAACAGATACTAAGCCTAACAATTTCTTCTGAAAGTATTATTTTATGAAAAGACAAGGTAGGAAGTATAGAATCGGAAGTCTTTTATTTTATATTTATCTCTACTATCTTTATAACCAGAAACATTAAAAGAAAGTAATTATACAAGATAAGATGTTATACAATGGTCTTCTAAGAGAGGCAAGGATAAAACATATCAAATATTATAATGCATTCTACAAAATTTTAAGTCAGATCAACTCTTCTTTACACTTCTTTTTCTAGACAGATTGCTTATATTCTACTCAACTATACTCACAAAGGTAGATGTGGCAAATTGCAGAAAAACCTTACCTTCATGAATCCCTAGGGCACACTTTAAACCCATCACCTTACTATTTTCCAAATACACAAATAATCATAGCAAAACACTTACCGGCAATGAGGACACTGAGCTCTCTGCTCTGTCAGCCAGCGCTAAAAAGATAAAATAGTTAGATTTTGATTGTAAAAACATCAGTACTTTGTATATACTGAATAATTACAAACCAAATTTAATGGGCTTAGCGTTCTAGTACTTAAATTAATTTTAGAGATACTTACAGAAATAACAGGCAATCTACTGTCTCCATCTCATTATCATCCTGAGAAGGACAAACTTTCAAAGGGACAGAATTCATCCCAAAATAGCTGTTAAGAGCACATTATCCCACAGAAAAGAAAGTAATTCTAGAACTATCTGATTCTCACAGGGTGGTATAGATAGTGGTCACAAAATTAAGGATACTGTCACTCCTATTCCCCAAAATAAACCACTGTAATGACTTCTAATTAAATTCCTTTTTGGAAAAGCAAGCTAATTCTGAGGTTTATAGATTAAACATATCAATTAGACCTAAAATATGAGTAAGCAATAGAAAAAAAATTTTTTTTTTTTTTTTGTTGTTGAGACAGAGTCTCAATCTGTCACCCTGGGTAGAGTGCTATGCTGTCATAGCTCACAGCAACCCCAAACTCTTGGGCTCAAGAGATCCTCTTGCCTCAGTTTTTCTATTTTTAGTAGAGATGGGGTCTTGCTCTTGCTGAGACTGGTCTCAAACTTGTGAGCTCAAGCAATCCACCAGCCTCCTCGGCCTCTCCAGAATTAGTCATGAGCCATCTCGCCCAGCTAGAAAAAAACTTTTATTTCTTTCTTTTTTTTTTTTCTTTTTTTTTGAGACAGAGTCTCAAGCTGTCACCCTGGGTAGAGTTCCATGGCATCACAGCTCACAGCAACCTCAAACTCTTGAGAATTAAGAGATTCTCTGGCCTCAGCCTCCCAAGTAGCTGGGACTATAGGAGCCGGCCACAACGCCTGGCTATTTTGTTGCTGTTGTTGCAGTTGTTGTTTTAGGAGGCCCAGTCCAGGTTCGAACCCACCAGCCTCAGTATATGTGGCCAGCACCCTACCCACTGAGTATAGGCAACGCCAGAAAAAACTTTTTTTAACTCTTAAATATGTTTCATAGTTTGATAATTTAAACACCTAAGTACCTTGTTGGTTTCCTCATAATTACAAAAGGTTTCAGAAGAGAATAATGTCTCTAGTAAACCCCAAATTCTATTAATTTAATAATTTAAATTACTAAAAAAAGAGAAAAAAAAATGGGCAGCACCTGTCGCTCAAGAGGGTAGGGCACCAGCCCCATATGCCCAAGGTGGCGGGTTCAAAACCAGCCCTGCCCCCCCAAAAAAAACCATCTGAATTACTGAATTAGGAGTTTTATTCTACATACAGATGAGATGCTAAAATCATACTTTTTACACAACAGAAAATATGCTTATAATAAAAAAATTTTGTCTCATAAATAGGTTCAGAGGTAAATACTAATAAGTAACTATAATCCCACATCAATAAACTCCCTTTGTTGCCCTTGGTAGAGTGCCGTGGTGTCACACAGCTCATAGCAACCTCCAAGACCTGGGCTTAAGTGATTCTCTTGCCTCAGCCTCCCGAGTAGCTGGAACTACAGGCGCCCACCACAATGCTCAGCTATTTTTTGGTTGCAGTTCAGCCTGGGCTGCGTTTGAATCCGCCACCCTGGGTATGTGGGGCCGGCGCCCTACTCACTGAACCACAGGCACCGCCTATTCCTTTCTACTTCTACAAAGAAGAGCTGGCTCGGCGCCTATAGCTCAACCGGCTAAGGCGCCAGCCACGTACACCTAAGGTGGCGGGTTCGAATCCCCAGCCCGGACCCGC